AGAGAGAGAGAGAGAGAGAGAGAGAGAGAGAAAGAAGAGAAAAAAGAACAACAAATATATCGTATTATATAAATTTCGATATTTTGGTCGTGAATCGTATTTGGCGACTTGCCAGCTAGCAGGGGTTCGACTAACTGCACGAATAATATGGTACGAGATACACACACCGGCTGTTGCATAACAGGCGAAGCAGAATGCGTATAGGTACGAGGATGATACGTCAAAACAGACCACCACACAAGCCTACTTCTGTTCCTGTCGACTGGCATAATGATCGTACAACTCGTTATTATGCAAATTGCATTAACAGTAGTAACGCGCCCTACTTCGTTAACGTACCATTTTTTGAATTTTAGATTCGAAAAAAATGCGAAATGCATCGGTGACTTCGCACAGGTGTAACATTGTTGAATATCAACTTCGCTTATTTTTATATATCGGTATTCGATTCAAAGTTTCGAGGAATAGCTGCAATATTTTCGTTTAAGGGATATATAACTTCTTATATATAAATTTTCTTCCAGTGATTCAAGAAAAAAAATATTAAGATTAAAGTTTAACGATCGATAAATATATCGTTACGTTTTAGTTAGATGAATATAAATTTCTTAATGTCGATTCAAGAGAACGACATTGATGCGTGATGACAAAATTAAACTGTTACTCGTATATACTAAAAACAGAACTGTACATGTAAGAATATTCGAATGACGAGTAATGAATAAATGATAATGATTTTTCTGCTGAATTACAAGCAGTGAGAAATTTTTATACGTGTTTACTGATTATATTATGACTCGACAATAGTAAGTGCAAATCATAAATCGAGACATTTCAGAGAAACACAGAAAAGAAAAATATTTCAAAGATTATCTACGTATCTTTTCTTTAATTGTTCTGATTTTAATTAATTCTGATATTTGATAAATAAATAAATAAATAAATAAAACATAAAATCAATCTGTTCGCGTAAAAAAAAATTTTTTTCACATATATATATGTATGAATTATATATTTAATTCATTGATTGTAATTAACAATCACGATCGCGAGAATGATACCAGTTGAATTTCGATAGCATTTAAAACTTGTAGCACAATAAAAATTATTCACAATATCGAAAACTCAAAGCGTAAATCTCATTAATAAGATTATACGGCTACTACGGGTGTTACAAAGGTAACAAGAGGATTGTAATTTTTATAAGAGGGGAAATGGAGCGACAAGGAGGGTAAACGAAATAGAGTGTGAACAAACAGCGGTTTGAGGAGAGGTATATGTCTGTGCATGTCTCTGTATTTATGTTTTCCACGCGTTCCACAACAGGAAAAAGAAATACGCTACGATGAACTAAAAGTATAAAAAAAAAAAAAAAAAAAATACACCAATTTATCGTTCAATTCTTTTTCGTTCATAAAAAATCAAAAGTAACGCGATTGGCCGGAAATACATTACGCTTGTTGCAACAAGAACTGCGTTACGACACGATATCCAGTTAAGAAAAGAATCGAATACGCGTTTGCAGAGGAAGAAAGGAATTCATGTTGAACGAGTGTGTAAATATTAAATATTTAAAATGTCAACGTACGGGCCATTTAACGGAGATGATGTAAAAGCAAAAAGATAATATTGCTTCTTTTAAGTGAGATTCGACAATATATATATATATATATAAATGATATTCGAATGCGCGTGTTTACGTACGGCGAAATTAATTTACGTACCCATGTGCTGATATATGTATGTATATGTATATATGTAATACATTATTATGTATATATATATATAAATACAGAATGTTGCGCGCACGTGTGATTATGTGAAAGAGTAACAGAAACAGAGTACAGACAACTTACGGGTATAGGTCATTTGGCCCTGGTAGTAAGAAGGAAGGTACACGTGTTGCGCGTGTGGAGGCTGCCCGTACACATTCATGGCTGCCATGCCGATTTCATCACCACCTACATTGTACGCCGTCGAGTAAGGTCATTTTTTTTATCAAAACGCTAATTTTGCACCATAAACACTGTTTCTAAATTTCGCTATCACTGGGTTGTTAAATAGCTGATTTTACGTAGCAGGAGATAAAGCCTACCGCGAGCTTTATAGTTTGTTCGTTTGCTTCGACTTAATAATTTTTTATTTACCTCACGTACTTGATAAAATTGTTCAAAGTTTCAGCTATTTTTAAATCTATGTATTCTTTTTTTCCTAGATAAATAGAATTAACATTCGAGTATTTGTTAAATGTAAATGGAAAAGTATAATTTTTAATCGAAATTAATTTCATTTAGTTTTGATTAAAATTTTATTTGTCTAATCTATTTTTTCTTTCTCTTTTTTTTTTTTTTTTTTTTACTTTATGTTATGTAAGATAGAACAAATAAGTATTATAATGTGAACGTATTATATTTTAATTAAGCAAACAAGCAAACCTGCTTAGATTTATTATTTGTTATAATTAAGTTTGCTCCGTATTATTGTTATAAAGAAAGAAATTTAGTCTAGAATTTGTTGATGGAAACTACTTACTATATAAATCTTACACAGATAAGAAAATAATTTTTATTTAATTTAGGCAAAGAAAGATTACAATGATATCTTGAAAAAAATTATTTTTTTTTTTTTAAGTTATAAGATAAACTTCAAATTAATATTCGCGAATTTTGATTTATGTTTAAATTTATGTTTACCTGTGTAAGGCAAATATGATATTATTTTACGAAAATTTTACTAAAATTCAAAATATTTAATCTATCTATCTATTTGATTATGTATATTAAACAGATTTTCAACTAGTTGCTAAGTTTTTTATGCATCTAATAACTATGTGTCTAATTGTAAGATAAATTATTTCTTTCAAAGATGTAACAACAACCCAGTGAACATACACTAAATACATGCTCTTGCAAAAATGAATGTTAACATAAACGCAACAAAACAAGCAAATAATATCATATACCACGTAGCTCTTTGACTTTTACTCGAAAATATGGAGACAATAATTATGCCTCCTCAAATATTTCTTTTTGTTAAAGATAATGAATTAAAGGCAATATTTTGTGATTCAGTGTGTAAAAACCTAATGTAATATTAAAGGATATTAAAGGTTTTGCTAATCTAAAATCGATAGTGTTCTTGTGATTCCCTTGTTAAAAGAAACCTCCTAATTTCTATTAAGGTAAATTATTATAGGATTCGTTATGAACATGCTAAATTTTGTATCTTTTGTGTTGTCATGCGTTAAGTACATGCATTTATGTAAAACAAATTGAGAATAGAAAAATATAAATAAATTAAATGTGCTTAATAATGTTCTTTGTAATATTTTTTATATTTTAAATACTTTGGTGCAATTAAAATTTAACTATAGTAAACTATAGTTTACATACAATGTATCATATAGGAAAATAGACGTTTCATAAAATGCTATCGAAATATTAATTTCGTAAAAAAAATTATATCATAAAATGTAATTTATTATATAATAAAGATATTCTGTAAATTATTGTAGTTAATATCACCTATTTAAATCATTTTATATCAAAAGACCTAAAATTTCAAATAAAATAATAACATAATTAAATTTAATAATTTCTTTATAAATAGAAAAAAATTTAATTAATTATATATTTGTTATTTATTTTAAGTAAATGTTAAGTTTTCCTAAAAGCATAATTTCATGCAGTAAATTTATAATGTAAATGTGTATTATGCAATAATTGTTCTATAAGCTGTTACATGTATAAAAAGCGAAATTACAAAAGCAGAACTATATTACAAACATATTAGCAAATATCTACTATTTATATTTTTATCGATTTTTATTTGATATTTTAATAAAATATTATTCTAAAAAAAGGAAAAAAAATTGAAAACAAATAAATTAAAATTCTAGATTAAAATTTAAATTCTTGTTATAATACAGAAATATACTAATTTAACTAATCTTTAATTATAATTAACTAGTTAATATCTTGCGGTAATATCTTTTATCTTAATATTTTAGTATTCAATTATTCAACAAATTTTACGAATCTATGCAAAATATATTTTTTTTATTGAAGCATCTATATTTGAAATTTTTTATAGAATAGGAAATAACGAACACTTACCCCCTTCATCTTCGCTATCGCTCATAAATGTTTCTTGCATTGATTCAGGAGCTTGCACTCTGTATTTTTCTTCAATAGTAACCGTATGAGTCGTTGTAATGACAGTTTCTGTAACTACCTTCAAAGTTTCGATGACACTAATGTAACCAAGTTTTTGTGCAATATCCAAAGCAGTTTGTCCATTCTGTAAAAAATAAAACGTTAAAAAATAAAAATCTAAAGGAAATAAATTTAGAAATAAATTTTTCATAAATTTTACGTACATTAGTAGTTGTATTCGGTTTTGCTTTACCCTCAAGCAACAAATTGATCACTAATGTATGACCTTGTTGAGCAGCTTGATGCAATGGAGTATATCCAGCATTCGTACTGCTGTCAACTGCTGCATCAGATCGTAAAAGGAATCGTACCATAGCTGCTTGACCAAAATGAGCTGCCACATGTAACGGAGTGTAACCAGCCTATAACAAATATCTTAGTTTTTAAAAAATATCTTTATCGAATTTTTTTTAAAACATACCTTTGTCTTAGCATCAATCTGGGCACCATTTTTAACAAGAATAGATGCAACATTGACTTTATCTTCTTGTGCGCACAAATGAAGCGGCGTGAGACCATTCTATGAAAAAAAAAAATGCTTAATAAAATTAAATAATAAATATTTATATTTAAAATAAATATTTTCGATATTTTATATTACCTTTGCTTTGTGATTTGTATCTGCTTTGTGCTCAATAAGTAGTGTTGACATATCAGTATGGCCTTCTTGTGCACTCAAATGTAGCGGCGTAAATCCTGCTTTTGATTCCGCGTTTGCTTTTGCTCCGTATTCCAATAAAGTAGTTGCAATATCCATCTACATTAAATGTAAAAATTATATTATTGAATAATATATTAAATAATTTAATTAATGTTGTAAATAATTATAAATAAATTACCTGATTCTTGCGTGCTGCAATATGTAATGGGGTATGACCATTTTTAGCCATAGCATGAGGTGATGCACCCTTATCAAGTAGAAGTAAAGCTACATTTTGATGATCGTAGTGAGATGCTACGTGAAGTGGAGTTACGCCATTCTAATTAAACGAACAATTAAACGAATTTAGTATCAGATTTATAATAATTTATAATAATTTATAATAAGAATATTATTTTTAAAAAGAAAGCAAAAAACTGTTTCTTACCTTTCCTTGGGCATCAACTGGTGCATTCCTTTGCAATAGTAATCTTGCTACATTCATATTACCATATTTAGCTGCCAAATGTAAAGGAGTGAATCCTTTTTTGGTCGTCGCGGTAAGCGAAGCGCCGTTTTCTAATAAAACGGATGCAACCTGGAATAAAAATTACAAGTAAAAATTAGTTATTAATAAATAATTAAATAAGATATATGTGTGTGTGTGTGTGTATTTAAAATTTTACCTCTTCTTGACCTTCTTTAGCGGCAATATGAAGCGGTGTATATAAATCTTTAGTCGTAGCATCTACATCGGCACCGTGTTGAAGTAATAACATTACGATATCAACGTTGCCTAATCGGGAAGCAACATGAAGAGGTGTTTGTTCTTCCTACAATATTTGTACTTTTTCAAATCTCTTTTAACGCAACTGATATTTCTACATATATAAATAAAAACATATAAAATATTAAAATAATATAAATTATAAAAAAAGGAATAAGAAAATTAAATGCAAAATTGAAACAATGTTTTGTCTCTATAAAGTGAATATTCAAATCAAAATTTACTAATACTCAATTCTTTTCTTTACCCTTGCTCTGGCATCAACTTGGGCACCATTTCTAAGAAGTATCCTGATAATATCAGTCTGATTCGCTCTCGCAGCTAAATGCAAAGGCGTTTCGCCCCTTACTGTCGGTATATCGGGACTAGCTGCATGTTGCAGTAAATAAATCACTATGTTCATGCACCCCATGAAGCTTGCTACATGTAGAGGCGTCAATCCAGACTAAGCAATAAAATGAGTCTATTATTACTAAAAAAAATAATAATATTCTTCTCTTCTTATTGTATCGATATAACATATGAATTATTTCTAATAATCTCTGATTCTAATTAAAGGCAAATATAATTGGTACTATAGTATCTATAACGTATATCTATGACGTAAGGTTTAATAAAAAAAAAAAAAAGTATACTATCGAGCTGATAAGAACAAGGGATATACCTCTGTAGTGGCTTCGATGCTAGCTTTGTGCTTTAAGAGGAGCTCAACGACCTTCAGTCTGTTCTTTTTGCAGGCAATATGAAGTGGAGTAAAGCCGTTTAGAGCTCGTGCGTTTGGATCAGCATTTCTATCAAGTAAGAGCTTAGCCACTCGTACGTGTCCGCAATGAGCTGCCACGTGTAGCGCCGTCAAGTAATCTACCGTCACTTCATCCACGGGTGCTCGATGATACAATAATATCCTCGCAGCGTCAACGTGATCTCCTTGAGAAGCCATGTGCAACGGTGCAAGACCATTCTGTCAATAGAAAACAAGCCTCAACAAATTCAATCGCAAGAAAACCTTTTACTTTATATAAAATATAATACATTTTAATATTTACCTTCGTCTTGGAACCGATCGGTGCACCTTTCTCTATTAAAATATCAACAACCTCGTGATGACCAGATCGTGCTGCGCAATGAAGGGGTGTAAGGCCGTCTCTCGTTTTCGCTTCGATATTTGCTCCCTTGCTCATCAAAAGATTCACCATTTTTATTTTTCCCCATTTTGCCGCTACGTGCATCGGCGTAATATTGTGCTGTGAAGTAGAGCATAATTTAGAGCAAAAATAAAGTTACAATTAAATTATCATATTCTCTCTTTGGTATAAATTTCTCAATTATTCAAAAACATTTTTAACAACATATTGTGAGGATTCTTTGAAAAGATTGAAACATATGCATAAAATTTCTTTAATGAATGGGAGATCTTTAATTAGATGAGGTTTACGATACAATCAGAAACTTAGTGTTATTGTTGAGTGAATATAGAATTTTATTATAAATCTTCTATTTCCAACCTGCGTGAAATGATTGTGTAACCATTCCTCCAAGATGCTATTAAAACGTTTTAAAATATTTTAAAAATATTCTGCAATCATCATTTCTACTGGAAGAAATTTCTATTTCTTTCAAAAAAATGAGCTAAATAATGAAAAGGATACAAAGTCTTAAAAAATTCTCAAAATGTTCATGCCAAAGATTTTTGGAGTTCAGATTCACAGAAGAATTCATTCACACAAAAGTCACAAAAATTATATTATAAGTTTCAGAAATCCATTAAATAAATCATAGCACTGACATATAATAAATCAATCACACACATGACAATCAATCTTCTTTTTCTGTGATTAATAATTTGATTACGTATGTTAACATAGAAATCAAACTTTTGGATATGTTTTAATGGAAGATGAAGATAATGACTCTTTCAAAATTTTTTCTACTACAACACACATTTTTGGTAACAAAATCTCCACATTCTATTAGTTTTCATTTATATTTTCAGAATTACTATTCTAACATAATATTTCACTTCCTAATCAATTTTTATCAATATCTATTTGCAATTGGATCATTTTGCCACAAAATAATTTAATTCATATTTATCATCTTATATATCACAATAATTATTTACATTTTTACATTTTATAATATTACATTTTACTTAATTTAAATATTTAGAAATCGTTTTACCTTAGCTGCGAAATTTACATCTGCTCCTCTATCGTAAAGCAAGGATGCAATTCGATCGTTACCATAATGCGCTGCTATATGGAGCGGTGTGAAACCGCTCTTCGATGTTACATCGGGATTATGATCGTTCTACAACAAAAGAAAAAGTAAGTTATAGACATTGGATTAATTCCTTTTCACATATTGATCACATCGGATTGAATATAGGGGGCTTCAATGGCAAATCATTACGACATACTTGTAAAAGTAGGGCAGCCGCCTTGCAATCGTCTTTCTTGGCAGCAATGTGGAGAGCAGGCAATCGAACTTTACCACGAGTGTCATTTTCCAACAGAACTGCTACCACCTTGTCGTGGCCCTGTTGCATTGCTACTGCTAATGGGGTGAAACCATCCTGTATATATATAAAAAGTATATCAGATTCATGTTATGTACATTGAATATAAATCTACGCGATTTAAGCTCTAAGAAATTTTTTTCCAAATTATAACATATTAAATTAATTTTGTACTTTTGGTACTTGCTCGTTCAACTTTTGTATTATCTTATTATTCATCGAGTGTTTAACGAACATCAATTTTATTTATTACAAACCTCAGTAGCCAATGTTTGATTGGCACCTTTGCTCAGGAGAAATTTGACTACGGAATCATGATTTTCCTGAGCAGCCATATATAATGGTGTGAACCCATTTTGTGACTGTGCATTCACAGAAGCACCTCGTTGTACCAGCAATTGTACCACCTCCTCCTGTCCAGCTGTAACGAGATATTAATTTCAATTTCTCGGAATTTTCATCCCACGTATATTACGAACAATATACGAATAATATATCATTTTTTTTAGAAAAAGAGTATAAAATGCTTCGTAACAAAAGTAAAAAAATAGTTCTTAATTAAAACACATTTATGTTTGTTTCACTTATATTTCTTTTTCCATGAAAATTGTCAAAAATAAGCTATGAATTAAAAAAATGTAAAAATAGTTAAATAAGTAAAAACATATATTTTTTTGTGATAATTCGTTTATATTCAAAATCTATGCAAAAGATAGAAATAGTAATAGTTGCAACTTACCAAGAGAAGCGATATGTAATGCTGTATTTCCCTTTTTGGTAGCAGCATCGACCACTGCACCACGTTTGAGAAGTTCTCTGACGATTTCCAAATGACCATCTTTAGCTGCCAGATGTAAAGCGTTTAATCCATTCTGTAATTAAATCATATTGTTCTCTATATCAAAAATTCTATATCAATTGTTGTCAATAAATACGATATTTTATCTATACATGAAAATTGTTGTATAAATGAATTACTGAATTACTGAAAATATACCGTCCACTACAATTTCATATTTAATATTTTTTTAATATATGTTCAAAATTTCTAAGTAAATGTTTATCAATGTAATGGAAATTTCTTAAAAATAAAAATAAAAAAAAAATAGAATATTGCTTACAGCATTTGAAGCATTAATGTCCACTCCCGATTCCAAGTATTCCAAAACCTTTTCCAGCTGCCCTGCACGAGCCGCACGGAGAAACGCCGTACTGGGATCGCTCTGAAAAC